TAGATAGATAGATAGATAGATGATAGATAGATAGATAGATAGATAGATAGATAGATAGATAGATAGAAAAAAGAAAAAGAGGGAGAGAGAGAGAGAGAGGGAGGGAGGGAGGGAGGGAGGGAGGGAGAGAAAGAAAAAAAAAAAGAGAGAGAGATCTCCTTAGGTTATCCTTCCTCCTCTAAAAACCCTGTGCATGGCCAACCTTTGACCTCTCATATCCAGGAGAGTGATGCCCTCGGTTCCTTGGAAAGATAAGATATGCTATCACTAGCATGCCCCCATTTAACAAGATTTAAAAACAAAAACAAACGGAGGGCCTGACCTCGCCTAAGTGGGATAGTCCCTGCCGAGCTGCAGTCCATGTGAACAGGAGAGATCCTGTTTCCTCTCTGCATTCTTTCCTGTCCCCTCTGGGAAGGCCCTTAACAGACGCTCCCCCAAGGAGCTCTGTCTGTCCCCGAGATCAAAAGCCAGAGAGGGAAGGAAGTCTGGACCAACTTAGAAGGAGTTCAGAAGAAACCCGGTGCCAGAAAGGAAATAGGGGCGGTCCTCAACTTACGACTGCCACTAGGACCAGAATTCCTATTGCTTTGTAAGGTGGTGGTTAAGTGAATCGCGCTCATTTTTTTCTCGCCATGTATATGTATACATCTGAACTAGACTTGTCTGTGTCACGTATGAGTGTGTATCTGGGTATATGCATATTTTTGTCATGTTTATGTAGTGTATATTGGAGGTGGCCTGAGAGCTGAATGCAACAAAATTTTGTTTTAATTTATGCTGATTAGTGTATAGAATAGAATAGAATAGAATAGAATAGAATAGAATAGAAAATAAGAAAGAATAGAATAGAATAGAATAGAAAATAAGAAAGAATACAATAGAATAGAATAATAGAATAGAATAGAATAGAATAGAACAGAATAGAAAATAAGAAAGAATAGAATAGAATAATATAATAGAATAATAGAATAGAATAGAATAGAATAATAGAATAGAATAGAATAGAATAGAATAGAATAGAAAATAAGAAAGAATAGAATAGAATAGAAAATAAGAAAGAATAGAATAGAATAGAATAGAATAGAATAGAAAATAAGAAAGAATAGAATAGAATAGAAAATAAGAAAGAATAGAATAGAATAGAATAGAATAGAATAGAATAGAATAGAATAGAATAGAATAAGGAAAAAGAATAGAATAGAATAGAATGGAATACAGTACAATATAATACAATACAATACAATAGGAATAGGAATAGGAATAGGAATAGGATAGGATAGGATAGGATAGGATAGGATAGGATAGGATAGAAGAGAACTGAACCGAACCGAACAGAACAGAATAGAGCTGGAAGGGACCTTGGAGGTCTTCTAGTCCAACCACCTGCTCAAGCAGGAGGTAAGTGGGAATGAGTATGCCTCAAAATGCTCAGTGGGGCACTCTATTATCCTGAGTATTTCTTTGGGATTTTAGCAGTGCTTAGTTGTCCCTTAGCATCAGGCAACCTCAGTCCATTTCCTTAATTCATTGTGAACTGAGAAAATGGTTAAACATGTTGTGAGAATACTACCCAGGGACATAGTAGCCTTCATTCTTCTGGCAATGCCGAGATTTGCAACACCAATAAGCTTAGAAGGAGTCACGTTTGAAAGCAGTGATTTTGTTATTAATACAATAGATGTTGAGACTCTAGAAAGAGCAACAAAGATGATCAGGGGACTGGAGGCTAAAACATATCAGGAACGGTTGCTGGAATTGGGTATGTCTAGTTTAATGAAGAGAAGGACCAGGGGGGACATGATAGCAGTGTTCCAGTATCTCAGGGGCTGCCCCAAAGAAGAGGGAGTCAAGCTATTCTCCAAAGCATGGAAGGCAAGAGAAGAAGCAACGGATGGAAACTCATCAAGGAGAGAAGCAACCTAGAACTAAGGAGAAACTTCCTGACAGTGAGAACAATTAACCAGTGGAACAACCTGCCTCCAGAAGCTGTGGATGTTCCAACACTGGAAGTTTTTAAGAAGAGGCTGGACAACCATTTGTCCGAAATGGTATAGGGTTTCCTGCCTGAGCAGGGGGTTGGACTAGGTGACCTCCAAGGTCCCTTCCAACTCTGTTATTCTGTCATACTTTGCTCTGCCTACCTCACAGGTTGTTGCTGTGCAATTTAAAGGAAGGAGGATTTGCACACCAGCCACCTTGGTACCTGATGGAATGGAGGGTCAGACTTTCTTCCCGAAGTTGTGGGTGCTCCATCACTGGAGGTTTTTAAGAAGAGACTGGGCAGCCATTTGTCTGAAATGGCACAGGCTCTCCTGCTTGAGCAGGGGGTTGGATTAGAAGACCCCCAAGGTCCCTTCCAACACGGTTATTCTGTTAATACAGAGGGTTCCATTAGCACAGTGGTTCTCAACCTTTGGGTCGGGACCCCATTTGGGGTCGATCAACCATTTCACGGGGGTCGCCAAGCAAGGCTGTCCGCCATTTTTTTTGTCCGCCATTTTTTCCCCCTTTTCCGGCGGGTGCCTTACTTCCCTTGGGCTGGGCCAGCTGGTGGTCGGCCTGCTCCGTCTCTGCCGCTTGCCAGCTACGCCTCAGCCGGCGCAGGGGGCGGAACCACGCATGTGCGGTGCTCCCGGGCAGGGAAAGTCCTCGACTTACGACCGGTTTAGTCCTCGACTTACGACCGGTTTAGTCCTCGACTTACGACCGGTTTAGTCCTCGACTTACGACCGGTTTAGTCCTCGACTTACGACCGGTTGGGGTCGCGGCATTAAAAAGGTTGAGAACCACTGCATTAGCAAAACCCTCATTTTACACACACCGCACCCCATGAGTTCAACTCCTGCTGAGGAAACTATTTTAGTGAACACAGAAGTGGTCTGTGACTGTGCTTCTCCGGTGTGAATATCATTCACAATTTTTATTTCCCTCTCTCTCTTCTTTCCTACAGAGAACTCTGGAGGCATTTTGTCAGAATGTGGGGCTTCGCCGGGTGCCTCCAGAGCTTCACCCAGACGTGTCCAAAATCGACATCTCTGGAAATAAGATTCAAAATATCACCGAGAGGCCCCTGACCTTCTACACTTCTCTCCGGCATTTAGACGTCAGTTCCAACCTGATCGGATTCGTCGAGCCTGGGATCTTTGCGGAGATGAAGAAGCTGGAGGACCTCAACTTGGCCAACAACCAGCTCTATCTGTTGGCTCAGGAAGACCTGTGGGTTGGGTTACTACCCCACGTCAGAAGACTCGATTTGTCTCGCAACAGTCTCTACACTGGCATGGCGGAACACTTCATTCGCGACGCACCTTCGCTACGATATCTGTCCTTGGCGGAGAACAGCATTATACACATCTCCCAAAGCATGTTCCAGGGTTCTCCAGAGCTGGTTGAAGTCAACCTGCACAACAACATGATTATGGAGATAGAAGAAGGCGCTTTCGAGGGCCTGGCGCGCCTCTCCAAGCTGAATCTCTCCATGAACTCCCTCACTTGCATCGTTGATTTCAACCTCAAGCAGCTGGACCTTCTGGATCTCAGTCGGAACAGCATCGAGTCCTTCCACTCCATCCAATCGGAGGAGGACTTCAACTTGATCTGGCTTGACCTGAGTGAGAACAAGCTCCTTCGCTTTCCAGTTCTCCCTCAAGGAAATAAACTGGCTCATTTGAACCTAACCAAGAACATAATGCAGTTTGTCATGGTGGAATCCCATAGCGACGTAGACTATCAGTGGGAAGATGGTCCTCAATATCCCAACAATTCCCACCCTCCTTACTTACCTGCCCTGTTATCCTTGGACCTCAGTTACAACGAGATCCAATCCATCCCAAGCCAATTCTTTGACTCCATGTTTTCCCTCCAATTCCTTAATTTAAGCAAAAACTGCCTGCAGATTTTCAAGACAAGCCACCCGCTGGCCTCGTTGTCCGTTCTTGATATTAGCTGCAACTCTTTGAAGGACCTTCAGTTGGACACCGACACCCTGAGTGGTTTGCAGGAGTTCCATCTCCAAGACAACCACCTTCAGGAGCTGCGTTCAGACATCTTCCAAGGTCTCCCACACCTCCAGTGGCTCGATCTGAGGAACAACAAGATCAGCCTCTGTGACTCGCACTCAGGACCAAGAAGGCACCGATTGTCACCCAAGGTTCCTCGTGGCTGTGTCTCGTTTGCGCAAGTCCCCGAACTTCAGTATTTGTATCTCTCTGCCAATCGTTTGAAGACCCTACCCATCTTCAGCTTCTTCAGGACTAACCTCAGGATGCTGGATGTCTCCATGAATTGGGGGCTTCAGATCGAAGCCAAATCGTTGGTGGGCTTGGAGTTTTCGCTGGAATATTTGGATTTACACGGGAACGGCCTGACCACGCTGAACGTGGATTTCCCCCTTTTCCCTCACCTCAGGTATCTCAATTTATCGGACAATCGGCTTAGTTGGTTGCCCACTTGGTCAGAAGATTGCTGCGTCCTTGAAATCTTAGATCTTCACAACAACAGCTTCAACAGCTTGAAAAATAGCCAGATCCCGGCCCTGGAGAAAAACCTACGGAATCTGTATCTGGTAGGAAACCCGCTCAGTTGTTGCGGGAACATCTGGCTCTCTCAGATGATCCATAAAGCTGTGGTGGAGATCCCAGATCTAGACCTGGTCAAGTGTCAGTTTGCCCGGAGTTTGGGCTTTGAGGAAGAAGAGGTCCATGTGAGTCGCGTTAGGCCTGAAGACTGCGAGAGAGAGGACCTCAAGAAAATGAGCGTCTTGATTTTGCTGGCGTTCCTGCTGGTTCTTTCGCTGATCGTCATCGGAGTGGGTTTGGTCTGTTGTTATCGGAGACACTTATTTGGGCGCCATTATAAAGTGTAGACCGAGAGGTGTAGGCCTCGTACAGTTGTGCTTCCATCTCGCGGACGCCGGACAATACCCTGGAGCCAAAGAGAGGATTCAATTCCTCCGGGGAGTTTCCAAAAGGCTGTGAAAATTTGGAGGATGGGATCGTGACACATTCTCACGTCCATGTCATCATTCGGGGAGGATGCTGGTGGGAAACCATGAGGCCACGATAACTCTCTTACGGATCTAGAAGAGGGCTTCCCAAGCATGGCATCTTTAAGAAGAAGAACTTTTAAGTTCTTCTCAAAGAACTCAAGAAGTACTTTTGAAGAAGAGATTGGACAACCGTTTGCTTGAGACAGTCTAGGCCCTAGGGTCTCCTGCTTGAGCAGGGGGTTGGACTAGAAGACCTCAAAAGTCCCTTCCAACTACTACTACTACTACTACTACTACTACTACTACTACTACTACTACTACTACTTCTTCTTCTTCTTCTTCTTCTTCTTCTTCTTCTTCCTCCTCCTCCTCCTCCTCCTCTTCTTCCTCCTCCTCCTCCTCCTCCTCTTCTTCTTCTTCTTCTTCTTCCTCCTTCTCCTCCTCCTCCTCCCATCCTCCTCCTCCTCCTCCTCCTCCTCCTCC